CGTATACATATTATCTGAGTAATTATGAGTATTTATATATATAGTGGAAACTCGTGCGTCAGAAAGATGTCCCATCGTTTGCTAGCAGGTTATGAAGATGTCCCATCTTTTCTTAACCAGTGGAAGCTTAAAAAAGTCCTATATTATAAAAAGTCCTTAAAAAAGTCCTATAAAGTCATATCACGCTGAGTTATAGAGTAAAGCGGTGCATGCAGCGATAGCGCTAGATTTTTGAATAATATCTAGAATACTTTTAGTGAAAACTCTTGTGTCAGAAAGATGTCCCATCTTTTGCTGACAGGTTATGAAGATGTCCCATCTTTTCTTAACCAGTGGAAGCTTAAAAGGAGTCTTATATTATTCTTACATCACGCTAAGTTAGGGCAATTAAGGCGGCGCAGCTAGTGCTATAGTTTTTTTAATAATATCTAGAATACTTTTAGTGAAAACTCTTGTGTCAGAAAGATGTCCCATCTTTCGCTGACAGGTTATGAAGATGTCCCATCTTTTCTTAACCAGTGGAAGCTTAAAGGAGTCTTATTTTATTATTTACAAGGCGCTAAGTCAGCGTAAGGCGGTGCAGCTAGTGCTATAGTTTTTGGAATAATATCTAGAATATACTTTTAGTGAAAACTCTTGTGCCAGAAAGATGTCCCATCTTTTGCTGACAGGTCATGAAGATGTCCCATCTTTTCTTAACCAGTGGAAGCTTAAAAGGAGTCTTATTTTATTATTTACAAGGCGCTAAGTCAGCGTAAGGCGGTGCAGCTAGTGCTATAGTTTTTGGAATAATATCTAGAATACTTTTAGTGAAAACTCTTGTGTCAGAAAGATGTCCCATCTTTTGCTGACAGGTTATGAAGATGCCCCATCTTTTCTTAACCTGTGGAAGCTTAAAAGGAGTCTTATATTATTCTTTACATCACGCTAAGTTAGGGTATAAGCGGTGCAGCTAGTGCTATAGTTTTTTGAATAATATCTAGAATACTTTTAGTGAAAACTCTTGTGTCAGAAAGATGTCCCATCTTTTGCTGACAGGTTATGAAGATGTCCCATCTTTTCTTAACCAGTGGAAGCTTAAAAGGAGTCTAATATTATTATTTACAAGGCGCTAAGTCAGAGTAAGGCGGTGCAGCTAGTGCTACAGTTTTTGGAATAATATCTAGAATACTTTTAGTGAAAACTCTTGTGTCAGAAAGATGTCCCATCTTTTGCTGACAGGTTATGAAGATGCCCCATCTTTTCTTAACCAGTGGAAGCTTAAAAGGAGACTTATATTATTCTTTACACCACGCTAAGTTAGAGTAAAGCGGTGCAGCTAGCGCTACAGCTTTTGGAATAATATCCAGAATACTTTTAGTAAAAACTCTTGTGTCAGAAAGATGTCCCATCTTTTGCTGACAGGTTATGAAGATGTCCCATCTTTTCTTAACCAGTGGAAGCTTAAAAGGAGTCTTATATTATTTAATACCCAGCAGGCGCGGGCGTACATTCCGTAAAATAGCTAAGACAATGCTGTCAATGCAGCTATTGTTTTTGGAATAATATGTAGATAACTGTATATCTTGGTGAAAACGGTAAAAACGTTTGGTCCAGATACATTTGCGCACTAGCGCCTTGGGAAAAGCTGTATAAGTGTATAAGCCATTGAAGCCGCCGCACTTTTTATACTGCCAAGATCTATAAAGACGGCAAATAGGTTTCGACGTTTCGATATGGAATTATCACGCCATACTTTGAACGTAAACAAAATCTAGGTTGAATATTATTCACGCTATTCGATCTCTAAGATATCAAGAACGTTTTGTTTTACAACTCATGCTCGATCAGTATTATTACACGCAGCCTTATTTCACATTATGCGCTATAGTATAGCCTGACCATAGGTGACTTGTCAACAGTCAGCATCGTAAATATCATCCTGACATATTTGTACACTTTTATTTTAATGCATAACAGAAAATTAACTTATTACTTGCTTGGTTTCACACTGCGTTTAAGCAACTGAACCTGGATTGATGACATCTTATAGCGGTAATTAATAATGCGATTAGCGTTGCTCGTTTCCTGAAGTTGCAAACTCAGTTTGCAGATCCCGCTGTTTTTCAAAACGTGCGGGTCGTCATGCCCCTAAAATCTGGGGGTTCACGTGACCAGAGGGAACCAGGGTCTTCGCCGGAGCCCGAGCGCAGGTAAAAGACCCTGGCTTGCGAGGTTGGGAATACCGCGGCCAACTTTCACTTGTTTGATACTGCTAAGCATTTTATGGATGGTTCTTACTGTAACTGGTAGACAACAATTTTGCCAACTGTCCACTCATTACATTCTTCGACTGTGGTACAACTATTACTAATGATGGATCAGTTATGCACCTAATTATATTTTCCTTGACCGAGTTATAACGATGCAGCTTGATTCAAAATATAGAAGAAATTTGGATTTCTGTCAGTCGGTAATTGCTGGTACGTCGCCGTAAAGCTCTCGTTCTGTATTTTCCGCCATGATTAAAAATATAAAAAACGATAATTTCTTCACATTTAAAAGACAATAATTTCGTTAGAAAATTATTTTTTGCAGGTACGTTTTAGCCAATTATTAGTATAAGGTGTTGACAATGTTTACTTATGAGTAATAAGTTTATATTGAACGTTTAAATATGACAGAATCATGATGCAGGCATGTTCAATGTTGGCAAATGTTGTTATGATTTACGAAGAAAAACGTGAAAATGATTGAAGATTTGATATTAAGGCTCTGTTCACAGGCACAGGGTATATAACTATTAACTCAATCACGAAGGAAAACATCGAAATGACATATAGCTATATAGTGTTGTATAGTGTCGTATAGTCTTGTATAAGTACTATTTAAAGCACGCGTAGAAGTGTTTTATCACATATAAAACACAACGCGTAGCGGAGTTAGTTCTCTCGAACAATACGAGAACGCTACGAAAACGGTACAGTGTAAACGCTGCCTTAGTGTAATCGTTTTGCTTGACTCGGGCGTTAAAATATTTGGACAAAGCGAAAGCGTTTTAAAATGCTTAAATGTAAATACACAACATGAGCTCCACCTTTGAATTTACTATATGAGTAAATTCTTAAACACGTCCGAATTTATCATTATGATAAATTCGCGGCACATTTTGAATTTATCAATAGAGTTAATTATAAAACTACAAGCATTGCACAAGGTTTCTTGCTATAAATGTAATGGCACTAAAAGGAAGGCTGGCCGCGCTGGGGTGGGGAGTTTTTCAACTCCGCCAAAAAAATAGCTTTTAAAAAAGTTTTAAAAAGTTTTAGAAGAGTTTTGAAAAGCAAGAAAAGTTTAAAAAGTTAGATTTTTAAAAAAGTTAAAAAAATTTAAAAAGTTAAAAAAATTAGGGGTTAGGGGTTAGTGGTTAGGGTGGGGGTTGGGGTTAGGGTTAGTGTTAGGTGCCGCGAATTTATTATTATGATAAATTCAAAATTTGCCGCGAATTTATCATAACGATAAATTCGGACGTGTTTAAGAATTTACTCGTATAGTAAATTCAAAGGTGGAGCTCATGCTGAAATACAAGTTCATTAAATTCCCAGGCGTGTAATCACGCGCGTTTAAGAGCGGCTTAAGAACAATGAGATAATTCTATAGTGTCACTTTTTTTTGGGACACCCTGTACAAGGAGTCCCCCAAAAAAGAAAACCATTGAAATAAATGTATTGTTAGAATTTGAATGCCTCAGCACTCTGCTGAACCCACACGTGCATCAAAGCTTGACATAAGTCAATTTTATGCATAAAAAACCGTTTAAGAAGCTGTTTTAAATTCCCAAGAGCAGAAAATCGTGTGCTTTACAAAGATATTTTAATTTCTTAATAAGTCAATATTTAATATATGCACCCTTGTTAATACTTTACGCATCTTTGGCACCTTGCGTTCGGCTTAGTGCTAGGGCATTCAAATTTTAACAATACGTTATTTCAATGTTTTTTCGGGTTTTTTTGGGAGACCCTGTACAGGGTGTATAAAAAAAAAACGCAACCTCGGAATTTCCTAAGAAATCACTTTGCAATTCTTAAGCATAAAAGAGTTTAGGCCCCTGGGAATTGAAATCGCATTGCTAATAGATCATATTACTGTTGTTGTGCATTAAATAAATGCATAAATTTTGCTTTATGCACTCGCGTGTGCAGTAATTTTGACAGTTGTGCTATTTTAAATTCCCGGGCGCCTAAAATCTTTTGTCTTTAAAACAATGTCGATTTCTTGGGAAATTCCGAGGTTGCGTTTTTTTTATACACCCTGTATAATACTATTGTTATGGTATACATAATAATGTTATATTTCCATTGTTAATAGTATTAACAGTCCTTGGCTCGTGTGCATTATTATTATTAACTGTGAGTCATTCCAGGTTATTACTCTAGAAGTGACCACACTTGACTTTGTGTCTAAGAATATTAGTGACATTAACCTTAGTGACAATCGCATAATAAATAGCTAAATGTGTGGAGGTAGCCCTGCGGGTCACATTATATCAATGCTGTAGAACTAAATTTACCAGAGGGGGGCTCTCTTGACGAACGTGAAGCTGTGAGATCGTAAAAAAAAACTTGACGTCATATGACGACCAGGGGTGAGCCATACGATGACCAGGGGTGACCAGGGGTGACCAGGTGTAAACCTATAGCCCTTACCGCGACGGCATTTTTTGATTGGGGGGGGGGCTAGCAAACGCCGAAATCGTGAGTCTTCTGGGACTGGGAGGTCCGGGAAATTTTGAAAAACGACTCTTAAGCAAGCCATTATAAATGGATAAAATTTATTCGCTTAGTACATTTTCCTTGAATAGATTTCTTTCTTCGAAATTATTATAATGCCTTATTTAAGCGTAGTTTAAATTGCATTTTCCATACTTATCGTCCTTACCTTTCTTAGAAATGTTTTTCTCTGGAAAGTACGAGCCCACTAATACATAACAAGAAAATAATAAATGAAACAAACACCTGTCCAGCGTACTAATTATGCAAGGAATAACTTAACGTATTTTAGAAAGTCTGTGATAGTCCAAACTAATTCAAAAGTCTGACTAATTCTGCTGGAGTTTTTTAAATCAAAACTAAATATTTTTGTTGAGATTGTAACAGAGATCCTGCTCCGTAAATGAACCAAAGTTACGTTTTCTTTTGTCGTTCTTGGACATGAGTACATTCGGTATTTAGTATCGCCAGATGACTGAATCTCCTCTGTAACATAATAAATTCTCGATTTTCTAAGAAGGGGGGCTCAGCCCCCCAGAGTTTGAAGGGGGGCTCCGCCCCCAAGCGACCCCCCCCCCACTTCTACAGCACTGCATTATACATATATTGTTGGAGAAATAAGTCGTGGAATGACCAATAATTTCTTAATTTTTATTAGTTACTATTGTTTGGATGAAGTAGTGAAGTAGCTATGTATATCATTCACTCGTCCACAAAATATCCCAAATAATGAATAAATACAGTTAAATAATTGCGTCAGTAAATTCTCTAAATTGTTCCTGTATTTAACTATTATCAATGAAATGTTAAAACGGAGCTTTGATTGATTGATTCACCATTTATAATAGTGAGTTAATTAAACTATCGTGATTTACACGATTTTTGCATATTTACCAGACGATGCCCTATCCACCGACCCGAGGTTAACGCCGAGCGGGCGTCTTGTTCATTTTTAAAATTCTGGTGACGCAGAAAATTTTCGGGCACCAGACCTCAGCCTGCCCAATTGAGATGGGTCCCGTATGCCTAAGTCAACCCGCAGCTTTTTTGCAGCTTTGTATTGATCAGCATTATTATTATATATGCATGCCCAAAAAGGAAACGGAACTTGACGTATACAATCTGATTGTAGTCAAATTGTCAAAAGGCAGAACCAGTCAACAATTTAAGAAAAGAAAATATAAAACAAAGACCGAAAAATGAAAAAATCTTGAAAAACCCAATATATGGAATAAGAGCAAAACGTAAATATACCGGGTGTCCCAAAAAAAAGTACTCCGGTTTGATTTATAATAACTTCTAAACACGTAAAGCTATCAAACAGAAATAACTTGCATTAAATAGAGGAAGGACTAACTTAGATTTTGATATATTACAGTTGTATTTTACTTAAAAATTCACGGAGATATTAATGTTCAAAATCGGGAGCATATTTTGGGATGTGTCTAAAATTAGCGAAAATCGGCGTATCAAATTTTAACTCCAGCGTTTGTTTGCTTAATGACATATCAGGCTAACTTGTATTTCAGCGAATTGTCGTTAGGGTTTGTAAGGGATATGGTGTTGATTTAGACATCTTACATGTAAGTCTTAGCTCATTGTTTCCTGAAATATGAACGTTCGAAATTATGCAAGTTTTTAATAAGTTTTTACAAACTTAAAGGTACATGAAAGACCATGCAAGGCAGGCGCTTAAATTTTTCTTAAATAGCCTATTTTTTATGTTTTTGATGGGTTCAAAACAGAGTTGATTATTTCTCGGTTAGAGCAGGATGAATATTATTCTTTAATGAAGGAAATAATATTGCTTTTTGCAAATACACATCACTGGATCAACGCTACTATTTTGTTACGTTTTGTTCCAAAAATGTTGGATGTCTCTGGGGAGTTGCTTGTTATGTCTTATGGAGTTGTATGATTTGATTGTGTTTCATTCTCAGTTTATTCTGAGCTTAACAAGATTAAGAAAAGGCAAAAGAGTTTGAGTATTCTTATAACAAGATTTCAGAACGTTGCAGAAGTTAGAAGAGCTTCACAATTCCATTATGACAGCGTGCCCTAATTCAGAACTACGAACGATCCGTGACGATCCTTCGCGATGCAGTGGTCTCATGAAATAAGGAAACGTATTCGTGCTAGGAACACACCCGGATTTCGGACGAATAAATCTTGCTTGTATTTTGTAGATAATAATACTCTGTTTCATAATAAACAATTTGTCAAGTGTCATTTATTTACTGGTAATAGTGCATGTTTCAGTCGGGCAAATCTTGATTAATATTTGATACGCCGTTTTTTGCATATTTCAGACACATCCAGAAATATGTTTCCGATTTTAAACATTAATATCTCCGTGAATTTTTAAGTGAAATACAATTGTAATATATCAAAATCTAAGTTAGTCTTTTCTCTATTTGATGCAAGTTATTTCTCTTTAAAAGCTTTACTTGTTTAGACGTTATTACGAATCAAACCGGAGTACTTTTTTTTGGGACACCCGGTATATATATATATATATATATATATATATATATATATATATATATATATATATATATATATATATATATATATATATATATAACATATATATATATATATATATATATATATATATATATATATATATATATATATATATATATATATATATATATATATATATATACATATACATACATATATATATATATATATATATATATATATATATATATATATATATATATATATATATATATATATATATATATATATATATATATATATAAGATAT